CAATACTGTTCGGTACGTTTTTGTCCTATTTTTGTAATGACAATGGATTTGTACATTTTTCTTGGTGTAATTGTATGGTTTATTTTATGTTTTAGAAACAGATAAAGTTAAAGTCAAGTTATTCTGTTTTAACTATTGCTAAGCCCAGACTCTGTGTTGTCAGTATTGAGGGAGGACTAAATCTGTAGGATAAAAATAATCCTACAAGAGTTTTGACAAGTATAAGAGTGAAACAGAATGAGTAATGGTAGAAAGGAGTATGAAGGTTAAAGAGACTGAATACATCTGTATAAGCCATTGACAACGATTTTGAGCCATGTCACCTATTGTCTCCAGCCATTGATTCTTAGAGTCCCGAGGGCCCCAACCCGGAAGTCTGCATCTCCCTACCTGACTCAGTTTAACTGTCAGGGATTTCATGGATTGATGAGGCCATGTTTTTGTTTGGCCACCACTTACTCTTCTCCAACCTGCACCTATATCAGCTACTAATGCCCGTCCGTCGGGGGAGACGATGGTTAGGCATGCGCAGCACGTGGCCTAACCATCTCAATCTATGTAACTTTATAGCCTCTTCGAGTGATTTTCCCTCTTTGCCCAACACTCTACGCCTAACGTCAACATTACTTACCTTATTATACCACCTAACGCGAGAAAGAGATCGTAAACATCTGTGGTCAAAAACAGACAATCTCTTCATGTCTTCCGCTCTCAATGGCCACGTCTCACCGCCATAGAGAAGGACGGAGCGAACTGCTGAGCAGTATACACGTCCCTTGGTTGACAGCCGGATGTCACGCCTACGCCAGAGACGGTGTGAGTTAGCGAAAGCAGCCCTAGCTTTCTGGATCCGTGCTGTGATTTCGTCACCAATCAATCCGTTGGTGCTGATACAACTTCCTAAATAGGTGAAGTGGTCAACATGTTCTATCACTTCCCTCCCTATCACTAAGCTTGGAGTTGACGTAGTCCAGTCCTGTAGCAGCATCTTACATTTCACTTACCAGTGTAATTAGTGTCCACTCCATCCTCTTTTATGGCTGTGAGACCTGGCCATTGAGAGTGGAAGACATGAAAAGGCTGGCTAGCTTTCTTTAATCATAGGTGTCTGTATTCTATCTCCCGTGTGAAGTGGTATAAAAGGGTGAGCAATATTGAAGTTAGGCTTCGGTCGAGTGCTAGTTAGGTAGGAGGGGAAATCAATCGACGAGGCTGTGAAGCAAGTGCATCGATTGAGATGGTTAGGACATGTGTTACGCATGCATGCCTAGTCATCGCTTTTCTCGACGGGCAATGTTGGTGACATAAGGTCAGATTGGAAAAGAGACAGCTATATATATATGGCTAGGACATGTGTCACGTTTGCTTAGCCTAGTCATCGCCTTCCTTTACAACAGGTGATGTTAGCTGACTGACATAGGATGGATCAGGTTGGAAAAGAGCTAGCAGCGGTTATACCAAAACATGGCACCAGTCAATGAAATCCACAACAGTTAGTTTAAGCCATTCACGTAGGAAGGTGTAGACTGGCTGGCTGGTTGGGATCTTCGAGACGGTAAAGACAAATGGCTTGAAACACAATCGACGATATGGCTCAAAATCGTTGTCAATGACTGGCGCAGATGCATCCACTTCTTCAGACTTATAATTCCTATGAAACTATATTGTTCTTCATTATTACTATTCCTCTTGTCTCATATCCCTGTCTATTGTCTCTGTTTTGCATTTATTTTTACTTTCTTCTCTTGCTTTGTGTGCTACATCGAACTGCTGCACATCGATGCAAAGTTCTATGTTGAAAACAGACAGACAGATAGTGTGCCAGGTAAGTTCTATTCACTAGATTCACGCGGCTTGGAGGGTTGGGTGGAGGACGGTGTCCTTCACAAAAGTAAAAGAGTGAAGACGAACGGCTGGGGTTTACAACCGCCAGACTGGTGGACATCTAGATTTATCTGATTTTGGTGTGGTTGTGTTCTCTGAGCTGGATAGTTAATTTGCGAAGCTTTTATCATCCTACTAAGTGACATATTCAGCGCATACTTCAATTTGAAATAAAGTGAGCTTTAAGATTTCTCCACGAGTTTATTAATCATCTCTCCTGGTGGGTAACCTTGGACGTGATTGGTTGTTTTTGTGTGTTTTCACACCCTCTACGCTACTTGTATTGGAACTGATTGTTTATTTAACTTGAACTTTGACCCTTTATGTGTAAAATTTCTTTCTTATCGGTTGATAAATTTTGTCTATCTCGATGTGTCTATTAACTGATGATTCACTGGAATGCCAAGCTTCTAAAAATTCTCTAGCATTCTTGTTGCTTCCTCTGTCTAGTACTTGAACATTGTCCCAGTCGAATTGATGTCCGTGTTTGTCTGTATGCATTGAGTGATATGAGGGAGTGGATGTCATGTCTTTTGACGGCTAGCTTATGTTCGTGGATACGAAGATGAAGGGGACGTCTATTTTGGCCAATGTAGTGTTTTTCGCAGTCGTTGCAAACTTATTTCGTAGATGATGTTGGTTTTATCTTCTTTCACTGTGAAGTGATTTTGTTGGTTTGTGTGCGACGTCAATTCCTAAAGGATTGAAGAGTCTTGCAGTGATTTCTGAGATAACCTTAATATACGGCAGGGCGATTTTCTTTGTGCTTTCCTTGGCGGCTTTTGGTTTGATAGGTTGGCTTGAGGGGGGGGGGTAGATTTCTTTTGATGAAATTCCGTGGATATCCATTCTTTTGGAAGACGTCCATGAGATATCTTTCTTCAATTTTCCTTAAGGTGGGAGTTCTGCAATGAGTCCTGGCTGACGCTCTTGAATAGTGTTTATATTCAATTCCTTTTGTGTGTTATTGGGTTGTTGATGTTGTAATTCAGTATTTGGTCTGTCTGAGCTACAAATCTTCTCTATCATATCCAAATGTTACGAGATTTGTGTGGCTAGGAGAACTTGAAAACCCTGATTCCACAGCTACGGTCTACACGGGCTGCAGAAGGATAGATCGACCAATAACACTGGGGACGTAACTCCTGACTCTGCTTCACTAACTTTGGGATCAGATTTCAAATAGAAAAGCTCAAGAGGGTGGTAGTCTCTTAGAGCGACCACATGCTTCGAACTGGGCAGTGTTCCAGCCCCTTCAATAATGCCTGGATTGAGTAGGATAATATAATAGAGACTATAAGGATGAAAGCTTTGATGATGATGATTGAACTAACCAATTAATCAGCCGGTTTCTAAAAACCCAAATTAACCAATTACATACAATTCATTAATTTTAATTGACCAACCAAAATAAAGCATTGACTTACAATAGCAGCTAAAGCTAATGCTATCATAAGCATAACAATGATAACTGACCAACCATACGGTTTCAGTAGGCCGCATAATAACGGACCCAGAGCTGCACCTAAGAAAAGCAGAATAACAGATGAAAAGGAGATGAATAGTGAACACAGTACTTTATAATTTGAAACATTACTATTAGCAATAATAAAGACATTTTTAAATTTAATTAATTTTACTCCTTTACAGTCTAAATGGAACATACAGCTTCAAGCTAGAGCTATAAAGTTGTTTCAGGAGAAGTGTTTTTCTCTCTTTTAACGGAGTTTGGAGCTGTTAGGCTTACACTCAACCTTACCTTTTAGACGGTCTCATTACCAGCTAAGTGAGGTTTACGATTGTGTGTCTGTAGCCACGAATAGAACTTCAGACTGGTTGGCCAGCATTCTACCACTCTTTTAGGAATGATTTCACATTATTCTTGCTGGGCAGACAGATAACTGTATAAATTTACACAGTAGTACGTGCTCACACACACATACACACACAACAGATACAGAGCGACACTAGAAATGGAGAAACTTAAATGTGAGCAGAGAAGAATGAATCAAATAGAGAATAGTAAAATGTAAAAGATTCTTTAGATAGTAAAGAAAGATAACGACTTCGTCCAGCTATCAAGAAGGTTTCAGTAGCATAGCGCTGAAATCACCAACACCCGTATAGTATACTTGCATCTGATTGCCTACTCTAAAAGTGACTCATCTGAGTTTTATAAATGCAATACAAAGACATTCATGTCACTTAACATATTTAGAAACGACTAGACACATCACACTAGTTACTGACTAGTGTCCAATCAAAGTATCCAATACCGTCCTACATGAGGTCAATCGCGAGCTCAGTGGTAACGTCTCTGATTGCAGGCAGCACTGGGTGACGTGGGTTCGAATCTCCTCAGAAGAGACATGGGTTCCTTCAAGGCAGTTGCAGATACGTCTTGCTAATTGGTGAGTGCCGACTAGCACGAAACCTAGGTCAGGCAAGGCTTCCTTTGGCCGATTGCCTTCAACCATCTAATATCATCGAATTAATGTGCACCGTGATGGCAAGCTACCTAGAACGGTGGCGACATTGCAAATCTGACTGACAGAATTCAGTCTAAACCAAACAAACAAAGGACTAGACACATCACACTAGTTACCAGTATCCAATCAAAGTTTATTTAGGGAGTTACATCACCTCTGATGGATTAATTGCTTACAAAATCACACAGCAGGGATACATTTACCAACTTACATTATTTCTAGTGGTTGTCTGTTGATCACAAAGGACATGTGTATGCTGAATAGCACTTTACTCTGTTCTTCCCGATGACAATGAAACAAGGTCATTTAGAGTGAAAGATATGAAGAGGTTCGATGTCTTTAAGGACGAATATTTGCCTTCTATCTACCATGTTGTGTGCTTCGGTGGTAGAATGTTCACCAACCACGCAGGTGGTTCGATCCCCGGCCACCGACGCACTCCTTTATCTCGCTAAGGCAGTAATAAATAAGACTGGTAAAGAAGCAAGGTTGGGCATGAGGCTGGCTAGCAATCCCATCGCATAAAAATAAATACGATTGCTACCGAAACTTCAAGCCTGTAACTTGAAGCTGCCCTATGTTCCACTGAGAACGTAAAGGAATAAAAAAAAATATCCGTGAGACAATAATAGAATAGAATGAAAACAAAAGACGAAAAGAGCAGCACTACTTACCAACTGAACCTGTTCCATCAATTATGCCTGTTACAGTAGCCAATGCACGTGAATTCTGCGCCAATGATGGATGTGTACCAAGATCAGCTGATACGGCTGTTGTAATCAAACAGTATGGCCCGTTAACAAACAAACCCAAGGGAATAAGTAAGCCTAAGACAAAAGAAAAATGGAGTTTATTTATCACTATTATTATTACGAATATTATTAAGGAAATGTTCCTGCGAAATAGAAAAAGACACGTAGCATTGTGATGTAACGCTCACATAATATTAATATTATTACTGTTATTCACGTATTGGTTTGTAGGGATTCGGATTGATTGGTTGCATGATTTCATCGTGAGCTGACAAAGGTTAGAGAACCATTGGAAAACCTACGGGGAGTAATGCACGGCCGTTTCGTCAGTCCAGTTTGGAACTGACTCTTCATCAGTACTCATCCACAGGGGTTCGAAACCAGAACTTTCTCGTTATAAGGCAAGTTCGTAGACCATTAGGCCAGCTCATGAGAACGATTTTGAGCCATATTACCAGTTGTCTTCAGGCCAGTAATAGGTGGGTTTCGTCGGTGTGCATACTGCCGATGAGTCTCAAACTAGAACAAAACACATTAATATGTGTGTAAAACTTGGGCACTGTGGTAGTAAGTAATTCCATATAAGTTTGTTTATTAGATGTATCACACACACACTCAAAGGTGGAGGCGATTCAATTCACCACCTATGAATTGGAAAATCAGGAATGAGGTGGAGCTTCCAATGTTAGATTGTAGAGTAAAAAGCAAAGAAGATGGGAAGTTAAAACACACTAGTGTTTACAGGAAACCCACACATTCAAACAGATATTTGGGCTTCCGATCATCTCATCCTATTTCAGTAAAAATAGGATTGGTGAAATGTTTAAGTGACAGAGCACAAAAACTAAGTTGTACCAAGGGAAATCTAAGACAGGAAGTGATAAATATAAGAGAAGCTTTGAAACTTAATAATTACCCTGATAAATTAGTCGGAAAGTATGTAGGGAAATGTAAAAATAAAATAAATAATGGTAGTAGTGGTAGTGATAACAATAATAATAATAGTAATATTAATGACTGCATGCATGTCAAACATGCGCAAGATAATGACAACACCAACAATAAAGAATCTAAATCATCAGTAGTAATTCCATACAAGGAAGAAACCTCGGAAACTTTATGCAGAATTCTTAACAAGGCAGGAATAAAAGTGGCTGGCATTCAAACCACCCACAAACTCAATTAGAAACAAGCTTTATCAGTTAGAGGATCAATGCTGTGGAACCTTTAAACAAAACAATTTAGTTTATCTAATACCCTGCGTGTAATGATTGTCAGGTCAAATACATAGGTCAAACTAGTAGAACAGGGGCAGTTAGACTAGCCGAGCATAAAAACCTAGCAGCAAAATCTAGATTAGTTGATCCGAATAGGAGAAGAAATCTAGAGAATAGTTCACCTATACCACTCAATACATGCAATTACACACAACCATACAATAGGTTGGGATAGGATGACAGTTTTAAAATCTAATGTCACAGGGTGGAGGAAGAGATTGATAACAGAAGCCTTGTTTATCGAATCAACTGCAAATACATGCAATAGGAATGATTCATCACCTGTCCCAGATATATGGAAAATTCTACTACCCCTACGATGACAAATAGGAGAGGACAAAGAAAACTATAAAACTCAAGTTTCGAAGTTGTGTGATTATAATTGATATGATTTTGGTGTGGTTGTGTTCTCTGAGCTGGATAGTTAATTTGCAAAGCTCTCATCACCCTACCAGGTGACATCTTCAGCGCATACTTTAATTTGAATTGAAGTGAGCTTTTAGATTTCTCCACAAGTTTATTGGTCATCTCTCCCGGTGACATTGGACGTGATTGGTTGTTTTGTGTTTATCCACACCCTCTAGGTTACGTGTATTGGAACTGATTGATCGCAGAAGCAGTGATGCAAAGGCTCGAAAACATAATCCTACCAAAGATCAAACCCAAGATTTGGATACGTTGCATAGATGACACATTTGTAAGAATCAACAGAAACGAGTTGGATAAAACTCACAACTTAATAAACAACATTTTCAACGACATCAAATTCATAAGAGAGAAGAGTAATCCGAGAACAAAATCCCATTTTTGGACGTCTTAGTCAAGCGAACAACCACAGGGGAATTAGAAACTCAAGTTGATAGAAAATCAACTCACACAGACCAAATACTGAATTACAACAGCAACAATCCAATAACACACAAAAGGAATTGCATATAAACACTATTCAAGAGGGCCATTCAGGTCTCATTGCAACACTCCCACCCTAAGGAAAATTGAAGAAAGATATCTCATGGACGTCTTCCAAAAGAATGGTTGTCCACGGAATTTCATCAAAAGACATATACCTATCAAACCAAAAGCCGTCAAGGAAAGCACAAAGAAAATCGCCCTACCATATATAAAGGACATCTCAGAAATCACTGCAAGACCCTTTAAACTTTTAGGAATTGAAGTCGCACACAAACCAACAAAATCACTTCACAGTGAAAGAAGATAAAACCAACATCATCTACGAAATAAGTTTGGAACAACTGCGAAAAACACTACATTGACCAAAATAGACATCGTCTTCGTCTTCGTATCCATGATCATAAACTAGCTGTCAAAAGACATGACATTCACTCCCTCACACCAATCAATGCATACAGACAACACGGACATCAATTAGACTGGGACAATATTCAAATATTAGACAGAGGAAACACCAAGAATCCTAGAGAGTTTTTAGAAATCTGGTTTTCCAGTGAGTCGTCAGTCAATAGACACACTGAAATAGACGAACTTCACGTCAAAGAAACAATCAGTACCAATACAAGTAGCCTAGAAGGTGTGAAAATACACAAAAACAACCAATCACGTCCAAGGTTACCCACCAGGAGAGATGACTAATAAATTGGTGGAGAAATCTAAAAGCTCACTTCAATTCAAATTGAAGCGTATGCGCTGAAGGAAGATGTTGCCTAGTAAGCAGGGCGATGAAAGCTTCGCAAAATTACCTATCCAGCTCAGAGAACACAACCACACCAAAATCATCCACCTGAGCTACAAATCTTCTCTTTATCATTTCTAATTGATGAAATGATTATGAACAGTAATAAATTTTGTTCGAAACCTGGTCATTCATCCAGTAAACAGTAATACTGTTTCACTCACTGTGTGATACATTTAATAAACAAACTGATATATAGAACAAAACACCTCTCTAGTGTGTGCTCTATAAACTTTTATTGATTATCTCTAAATGAGATATCAGTGTCATTCAACCATTGTGTTGTTTTAAAAGTGTGATCAATACGAACAGTGAACAGCCTATGCGGCATATACATATACATCGGTATCATGGAAGCTGGAGTATTACCACTACTTTATGGAACTGAGACATAAGACAAATCAATACATACAACGTAATTCATTCTATAAACTTTACAAAGGTCAACATTGAACAATAAATAAACGACAAAAGGGTCACTACTATTTTGTGTATGAAAAAGGTAAATACATAAATAATAAAATGATTTGTTACTTTATTTATTTGATACTGTCAAATATTTACAATAAGATAGTAACACTATAACAGATAGGCGGATGGATAGACAACCTCTATATACCAATTTTATAACTCCACTCTATGAGACAAAATAAAAACAGTCGAGGTAATGTGAGTAAGCATGTGTGTGTGTATCGATTGATTTTGCACTGGTATGTATCCCTTGTAACTGACTGACTACGAGAGATGAAATATTGCCAGGAGTGACATTTTCATTTGAAGCGCGAATCTGTTACCTGAGGTGAATGTGATCGGGTATGTCAACGCCAATGGCCTGAAGGGGGGTTTTGGATCAGCAACTTCGATGTGGTTAGCAAACCCTCAGTAATTGCTACGAGTGGACTCCTACGGTGGGGGTGTGATACAGATAATGGGTGCTAACGGAATATTATTCTCACATTAAGAATCATTGTATGTTTTTACGAGTGGATCACGGATTGATGTCAGTTAGAGAACCATTGAAAACCAGCCACAGGGAGAACTGGACAGCTGTTTCGTCAGCCTAGTTTGGGAATCATCGGCAGTACGCACCCACTCGGATTCAAACCCAGGACCTTCAGGTTACAAGGCGAGCTAGCTCGCATACCATTCAGCCATTGGGACCCGATTCAATTGCCAGTTCATGAATTCTAACTGCCACCAATTTGTGATTAAGCGCTACCCCAACCATTGCCGTCGGTGGGACATCCATCCAAAAACGTGACGTCTAATTGGACCTCACTGGTCACGACTTCTTGCTAGAACTTCAGGAAACTCCATCCTGTAGCAAGTCACTAGCGAGCATAAGATTAACTTTTTTCTATAGTGTGGTCTGTAAGGGTTAGTTATGTTTTTACGAGTTGATCACAGATTGGATGGATGTCCCACCAACGACAATGGTTGGGGTAGCGCTTAATCACAAATTGGTGGGAGTTAGAATTCATGAACTGGCAATTGAATCGGGTCCCAATGGCTGAATGGTATGCGAGCTAGCTCGCCTTGTAACCTGAAGGTCCTGGGTTTGAATCCGAGTGGGTGCGTACTGCCGATGATTCCCAAACTAGGCTGACGAAACAGCTGTCCAGTTCTCCCTGTGGCTGGTTTTCAATGGTTCTCTAACTGACATCAATCCGTGATCAACTCGTAAAAACATAACTAACCCTTTCAAATCAAACTATAGAAAAAAAATCATTGTATGTGTTGGAGGATTTCATCATGAACTGACGTTAGTTAGAGAACCATCGGAAAAGCTGCAAAAGAGTACTGGACATCTTTTTCATCAGACTACTTTGGGACTCTTCAGCAGTACGCACCCGCCCACAAGAATTCGCACCCAGGACCTTCCGGTTACAAGACTTGGGAGCTCGTATGCCGTTCAGCCACTGGGACCCGATCCAATGGTCAGCCCATGAATTCTAACTTCTGCCAATTCATGACAGAGAGCGACCACTTCGCAATGTCCTCGGTTCGAACCCCGGTGGGTATGTACTGATGAAGAGTCCCAAACTAGTTTAACGAGACAGCTGTCCAGTGCTCCCAGCTGGTTTTCA